GAAGCCATTCCCTGTGTGCTGTCCCTCCATCCTTGTCCCCAGTCCCTCTCCAGCTCTCCTGGAGCCCCTTCAGGCCCTGCCAGGGGCTCTGAGCTCTCCCTGGAGCTTTTCCTTCTCCAGACTGGAACATTCCCAGCTCTCCCAGCCTGGCTCCAGAGCAGATTTAGGTTAATCAACAGAAATACACAAATACAGAATAAAGGCTCAGGTACCTTTGCCTTCACATTCCCCTTTCCATCCCAAAGCACTTCCTAGACCTTTGTGGGAGTTAAGGAGAAGCAGAAATTTGCCAGTGGAGTGGGGAGAGGAGGGAAGAGAAGGCTGGAGAGCCCTTGGAGGAGCCCTGGACCCCAGCCCTCACCTGAGTGGGGAGCACAGGGGATGCTCAGGGAGCTCTGGCTCTGCTGGAATCACTCCCTGGAGCTGTAGGAATGTTAAAATCTCATTTTCCTGCTCTCTCTCTTTGGACACTGGAGAGAACAAAAGCAGTGCAGAAAGCCATTCTGAGCACAGAGAAATTTCCTGCTGTATCCTAGAGAAATATCCTGCTCCAGCAGCCTCAGGAATTCCCAGATTCCAGGGAATCCAGCAGTTCTTTTCTGTTCCCAGCACTCACCTGTGCATGCCAAGGTGAACTGGGGGGGAATTGAATTCAGTCCCTGTGGTGTCAGTGAGGAGAGCCTGGTGCCCACCTTCCCTGAGGGAAAAACTCAGGAATTCTGGTGGAGCCACCCCCTCCAAAGCTCCCCAGGGAATTGTCAGCTGTGGTGACACCAATGGCTTGGCTTTGTGCAGTTATTTTTGAATATTAGCCCAAATCTGGAGGTTTTAGGCTCTCCAGAGTAGATTTTTCTAGGAAAAAAAAAATAAATAAATAACGATGATGAGGAATTGTTTTTAGCGTTTTAACTACTGTTCTGTGAGCAGAACCAAAGGGACAAAATCTCCCTTTTCAACTCAATTTACCACCAAAGTTCAGCACCCCCAGCAATCAAGACTGGCTTCAAATCATCCCTGCCAAAGATGTGCAAAAAGGGAATTAATGCTCTTTTTTTTTTTTTTTTTTTTTTTTTTTTCCCTAAATATAGGGAAAAGAGCTGCAAGGAGTCCCCTCAAAAATATTTCAAATTATCACATTTCTGCCTCTGCAGCTAAATCAGGAAAATCTTTGCAGGTAAAAGATTTCAAATCTGGTCCAGCCTGATTTTTAGAATCCCAGAGTGGTTTGGGGTGGAAGGGATTTTAAGGATTACCCAGAGCCACCCCTGCCATGGCAGGGACACCTCCCACTGTCCCCAATGTCCAACCTGGAACTGAAAATTCCAGGGATCCAGGGGCAACCACAGCAAATCTGGGAATTCCATCCCAGCCAGGAATTTTCTCCCAATATCCCATCTTTCCCTGCCTTCCTCCTGCTAAATTTCAGCAGAGTTTTAAAGCTCGGATATCTCCAGAGTTAGGGATGGGAAATATCCAATAATTTCCAGGATGAGAATAAGTTTTATCCAGTCCTATCCTTTCCCAAACTGAGGCAGTGCCTGTTCCCTGCTGTTCCATGGGGACTTTGGGCTGTGCTCTCCCAGCTTCCAGTTGATTTTACCTTTGGGAATCAATGCCGTGTGCCACAACTGGAACAGGAAAATTCTGCCGACACTGGGGGGAGACAACAGCTCAGCTTTGCTGCGGTTTCTCCTTCAGGAACCAGCTGGGCACCTCGAATTTTGTAAGAATCCCAGAATTCCAAAATCCCAGAGGCTGGAAAAGCCCTCCCAGCCCATGGAGTCCCAGCTGTGCCAGCTCCAGGCATTTCTTGGACACAGAAAGGTTTTATGGTTAAAAATAGATTTAAAAGAGAATTCAATTCAGTTTAATTTCTGAGGAAGAGGAGGCAGCAGGGATAAAGAGCTTTGGGGTGCTTGGTGTACCCCAGAAACATCAAAATGGGAAGAACCCTTCAGGATCATCCAGTGCCACCATCACCCCAAATCCTGTCCCCAAGGGCCACACCAACAGCTTCAACACCAGAGGAGCTACACAGGAACCTCTTGGGAATATTCCCATCCTGAAAAATGAGCCAGGTCACTGTGGTGCCTGCAGAACACGGGATCTCTCCTTCTCCCCTATTCCATAAAATTCCTTTTTTTTCTAAAGCAGAATTCAGGCTGTACCTCCCATGCACAGGTCTGGATTTCTGATAATTGTCATTCTCACCAGTGCCAAGGGTTAAAGGCATAAAATAAAAGGTTTCAAGTTAAAAACTGGTTTCTAGATTTCCACTGTTTGCACCTCTAGGGTTCCTTTTGTTCACATGAAAGCTTTGTGGGTTTAAACCAAAGCTGCAATCCTTGTGGAGAGATCAGGAGAGGAGCTGTTGGGATTTTAAGGGAAACAAATGAAATTCTCCCAGGTTCTGAGGTCTCTCAGGTGGCTGCTGGAATAGAAAGCTCAGGGCTCTGAGGCCCTTCAAATGAAAAATGAACCTTCAACAGAACAGTTCTGCCATTAGACTTTAGCTAAGATGAGCTCAGCTTAATTTTAGCACCAATGAAAGCTTTTAATCTGAGATTTGTGCCAGAATCAACCCCAGGCTGGGGCTGGAGGGAGGCAGAACTCCCTGAGCAGCATCCCGGGGGTCTCAGTGATTCCAGCTTTTCCTTCCCTGCTTTTCCTCTTGGGAATCAGCAATTCCTCCTGCTTTTTCCTGCTCTGCACGTGTTCTGTGTTGGGGCCAATCTTTCCTAATTCCCTGGGATCCCAGCTCCAGTCTTGGCAGGATTGATTCCAAGGATGCAGTGACTTGTTGCATCCTCTAATTACAGCACGTATGACATAGTTAATTAGTTAATAACTATTATTATCAGCCTTCAAGGCTAATGGGGAGCTGATAGACCTCACATGAGGGAGTTGGAATATCCTGAGTGGGAATAAACCCCCAGGGATCACCCAGTCCCACCCTGCCCTGCCCAGACCCCCCCCAAAATCCCAGCCTGGGCATCCCTGGCAGCTCCTGGAGCTCTGTGCCCATTCCCTGGGGAGCCTGGGCAGTGCCAGCACCCTCTGGGGGAAGAGCCTTGCCCTAAAATCCATCCTAAATCCCTCCTGGCACAGCTTCAGCCTCTCCCTGGGTGCTGTCCCTGTCACAGCTCTTGGGATGAGCTGCAGCCCCTGTCGGGTTTCCCTCAGGCTCCTCCAGCTGAACATTCCAAGGTCCCTCAGCTGCTCCTTGTGGCCTCTCCAGACCCTTCCCCATCCTTTGGACCCTCCCCAAGAGCTTTGGATCTTACACTGCAGCTCCACATGGGAAACACCCAATGTCCAACCCGTGAGCCTGTGGGGACAGCTCAGGTGAAATTCCCAAAACCTGGGCTGATGTTTCCCCCCTGGATTCGATCCAAAGGTCATTTTTTGGCTGTGAGTGACCAGGGATTGGGAGATGGCACAACCCAAGTCACTCTCCAGTTTGGTTTTGGAGCTGTTTTATCTTTGCTGCTGGAACAATTCCAGAGTGGGCTCAGCTGGGCCTTGCCTGGCTCCCACTTTGGGATAATCCCAGCTGAAAACAGCAATTCCTGGCAGCTGCCACAAATTATCCCACGGTAATGGATTCTTTGTGTGCTCCTGCAGAGGCAAAGTTTGTTTGGGCACAAATGAGTGATGAGGTTTTTTTATCCATGTGGATTTCCAGCTGGATCAGAGGGAGCTCCTGGAAGTTTCCATGTGTCCCTGGAAATGTTCCAGGCTGGCCCAAGGCTGGCATGTGGCTGTCACATGGAAGATGGATGTGGCTGCTTCCTGTTGATCCCATGGAACCCAGATGGGTGACTCTCCTTTTTGATTATCCTTTTTTTGTTTGGTTTTTTTTTTTTTTTTCTTCTCCCTGGACTTCCTCCTGCTGCTTGGCTTGGCTCCCCAATGCCTCAGCTTCCAATGGCCTGGCTCTTTCACAGTCCTCCAGCTCTTTTTTATCTGCTCTGACTCATTTCCCTGGCCTAAACTCGGGCTCATTTCCCAGCCTGGTGCTCCTGGTGGATGTGGGGAGGCTCAGAGCCAAGCAACAACAAATGGCAGCTCCTGACAGTGGGGTTTGAGTCAAAGAAATGAATCTGGGCTTTGTGTCTGGGCTCTAAACCAGCTCTGTCCTTCTGCTTTTCTCACACAGACAATCCTCAGTGTGTTCCCTCTTTCTCCTCCTGTCCCTGGGCCCTGCAGCAAGAAATTCCAAGGAATTTTTAGTTCACAGGGACAGAGCTTTCAGTGATGTCTCCTGCCTTTCCATTCCTGGCCACCCTTCTCCTACTCCTCACTGGGCTCCACTTTGCCTGCTCACTCAGAAAAGCTTTTATCCCAAAATCCCAAATCCTCCA